CAAGGTATGGCTTTGAGTTTTTTAGTAGATGGGATGACCTAGATGAACCAAGTGTATATCCCTTATCCTTAAAGTTTATGTTATACTGCAGCATCATAATTCAAATGAAATATAAGATGATAATAACAAACTTTTCACAAAAAATATGGGCTGTAATTATGGCAGAAATTGTTCACAAATATCTTTTCTCTTACCAGCATATCACGAAGCAAAGCTTTCAGAATTTTGTTTCAATCTTTATCCAAATCTCTACTGAACTGTAAGCCATACTGACTTGCAAAGTTCAAGAGAACAAAAAAAAGAGGTGTTAATTACATGTTTCGATCACTAGTGTAATTTTTCTAAAAGCTGACATAATGTGATTTTATCACACTAAGATAACTGAGTTTGAGAATCAGTGACCGGTTAAAACTGATAAAACTACACTTGAAGTTACAAGGTTTAAATTGGCGTTATTTTGTTCAAAACTATTTTGCCTTTTTTTTTCTAAGGCAGCATTTTCCAAACTACTGCTTTCCACACCCTCTTTAAATAAATATGATTTCTTGCATGCCCCCTCCTTTTTAGCCACGACATAACAGCTCATACAATGACTGAGTTTTTTTGGGTTTTTTAAGTACAAACTTTTTGCTCGTAGCTCTATCTCTTGACCGATTTGAGACCTAATTACAGTCACAGCTACTTGTTTAAATGAGTGAAAGAGTGACTTAAGTGATAAAATGTAATACATGGATATGCATTATAATGCTACATGTGTTGTAGTAATTACTTATTTATTACTTTCATTAATGAAAAATATGTTAAAAAACTGAATGTTCCATTATTACTCTACTGACTACCCTCACACTCCCTCAAGTAATCATTTGTACCCCTTGGGGAAGCATGCCTAATACATTGGGAAACTGTTCTAAGGGACTATGAATGGCATATTATGCAATGGAAAAATTCATGAAATTCACAAACACTAATATTTTCATTCAGTGAGGAAAAAATCAACCCAAATATTAAACTTTGAATTTTTTACACTTTATGTATAAAGTAAAAATATTTTTACTAAACAAATTTCAACATTGAGATTTTGTTTTTTTGAATCTGTAAAAGAATGACTTGAACTTTATTTTCTATATATTTCAATTCTATGTACAAATTTTTCCTCAAGCTGTACCAGGTGCAAAAATAATAATATAAACTTAAATACTTTATCAGTAATATAAATAGGTCTAAAAGAACCTTCGAGAAAATTAATTTGGCAACCTTATTCTAAAAAATCACTAACTTTATGTGTGATGATACATAATTCTGAAGGACTTCTATAAGCGTGTGCACAGTTATATTTGTATACTTTTTTTGTACAATGGACACATTCTACTGGCTTACATTGATATTGACATGTTGCTTACAATAGGCATAAAGAAAAAAATCTAGAGTTTAAGAAGTTTAAATTGACAGCCTTACAGGTAAGTTGGAATATTACCATAATTACAATATGGCAAAACAAGGAATTTGGTTAAAAGGGTTAAAATTAGAAATTTCAACAGGACCATTAAACGACTGGATGATGAGAATTTTTACGTATGTTAAAGATAAGCAAAATTTTTAATTGAAATCGAGCCCTTAAAGGAAGCTGATAGCAAGGCTTTTATTTAACTGGCTGAACTTCTGAATGTTATTTTCTGTTTTTACAAGTTATTATTCCCGAGACATTTTATGGAAAAATATTGAAATTGACCTGAATCATATAGAAATTAACCCCTTGTTGTCCCACAGGTTTAAAGAAAGTTAGAGATTAGATATCTGAGCTTCTCTCTCATTTTTGGAGGTCACTAAACAGTGGGCAGGTGCCTGAAGATTAGAAAACCACTAATGCTACTCCTGTTTTTAATGGGATGATAATACCTCTCACCTTCATTTTTAAAGGCCCAATTGGTTCCTTTTATCATACTTAAAACATTCTATACAATTAGGATTATCATTTTCTGCCAACTGTTTCTCAAATATTTTTTTCACTTTCCTTATACCTTTTTTACATCAGTTCTCTAGTACTTATACAAGCCACTAAATCATCCATTCTATCCTGTTTGAATTTTCTGAACTCGTTACTTAATTTTCTATTTGATTTCTTTTGTAAGCAATTTGGACATAAGTTTGCCAATTATAAGTTTTTCCAATCAGAAGATACTTGCTTCATACTTGTAGTAATTTGTCCCTAAAGGTTTCCCACTTCAAATTGTCATCGTCACTTTACAAAAATTTCCCATTTACCTTATAAAGTATGTGGAATTATAAAACAGTATGAAGAAAAACACTTTCTAGCCTCTGTGTTGGAATGTGTTGCACTTTAATTACTTCTATCAGAGCACATTAGCTCAAATTTAAGGTTTTAAATTTATACATTCATAGTTACTTATATATAAACTTGGCATGTTAGATTAATTGTAAGGAATTGTTTTTCTGTAAAAAATATAAATTAAATCTGATATCCTAAAAGCATACACAGAAACAGACTGAGGTTCTAAGCCTAAAGTAACCTTGGGTTTCTACACAAAAATAAAGGATTATTTATGGTTAATTTAATTTGTCATAAATATATTAAATACCAGACTTAATTTTCTTAAAGGATATGCATGTTTGGCAATATTCAGTTTAAATAAATAATGTTTTGTTTTTTCATAATTACAAATGGTCTTTCATAATATTTTTTTCTATAAATACTGTACCTATTAAATCTTATGTATTGTACTGAAATAAGGTCACCTGGAGAGGTCACTTGTTTTAACCACTCACACCAATAAACAGTAGTGTGTTGTCTGTCAGTCAGTCAGCAGATACTAAAATGATGTCACATGAGAAATTGATAATGTTGCAATTTTTACTGTTATGATGTTAGTAAAATGTGCACATGCTATGAGCCATGAGAAGAATTATGCACTCTGTAGGTTACAACACGTCATAACATATGAACTAAATACACAAGAAATAGAAATATTTGGCACTCTTTATTTTGGTTTTATTAATTCTTGAAATAGAACACTTTTGGGGACCCTGTGTAGGTATATCTAGTTTTAATTTCATGAAATGTTATAAGACTTAACACAAAATTTAAAAGCAACAAGGGAACTACTAGTCCATGTTGTCTGTCTCATCCACTAAACTAAAAACTAAAACTCAAATCCAGCCCTTATAATTCAAAATTTTCCAATTTTTCTTAACAAGCTCATAACCAATGGTCTAGCAACTGTCCAGGATGAGGAATATTGCTTAAATCTGAATTAGGAAAAAGTTAAGTATAATTTAATAACCTAGCCATCTTTCAACCATCAGAAATTAGTTGTATTTTGTCATCACTCAAAGGCTCTACTCCCATCCAAAAATTTATCTTACTTTTATGTATTTAAAGAAATACTTACTGTTAATTTTTACATTTTCAGTCAACCTTTTTTCATACACCCCTTTTCAATTTCTTAATGTCCTGTTTGACCAGTTGGCCTTAATCTATTCTTCTACAATCCTCTAAGTCTTCCACTATATCAGGCAATCTAAACTTCTTAAATTTATAATGCTTTTCTTAGATTTTATCATTTATAGTCTTTGTGGGTCAACCTGGTCTTACTTGTGTCACCTTTTTTTTTCTATAAAGAACATCTAAATTAAATATTAACATTTTATTAAAATTTTTTTATCTCTGATCAGTATCTACAATTAATTCAGTTACTCAATGCACAGCATACAGTTCTTGTCAAAATTTGCTTTTTTTTAAATTTATAACCAGAATCCATTATTATTGATCTCCCTATACAGTAAAACATCACATCTAATTAAGCACTGATCACCTGCACCCATATATTCCTGTCTTCATTCTCTCAACCATTTCTATATTACAAATTAAAAGTAAATCTAAAATAGTATTGTTCCTAGTAGGTTCATTTACAAATTGAGGATTAAAACCATCCTTTGCATTCAAGATCCTGAAAACCTGCTCTCTGTATGCAACCTGCTAACATATTTACATATTAATAGATAAAAATCTGCTAATATTCATATAAAAAAATATACTGTATACTCACAATACACAAGTTCAAAGTACCAAAAGAAAACACTGATATCCTTTTATGAATGAAGGTATGTGAAAATTTCATACCTACCTAAGATGATATATGTAACTTGAAATAATTAATCTACTGCTGGTACCTGTTACATATACAATGTCACATAGTCATTGACACCGGCTCTCACACTATCACTGTACCATGCCAATCTTAATGATTGGGTAACGAGATCTTAATTTTGATAACTAGGCAAGCACCTTCCTCACCAAATTTGTATCAAATTTGTTGATTTTCTGATGCTTTGATGAAGAATTTCACCAGCTGTGCATGAAAATGTACAACGTAGTTTTTCACAGTGTCACATAATTATGGTTATTAACTTCATATTAATATAATATACTATATAACACACACTTAGAGAATGTATTTACAATACTTACTACTCTGAGATATCATACTTCATTACTAATTATTTTCTCAGCTGAATATATTCAGATATTCTCGGTATTCCATTAACATATGCACCATAATAATTAAATACAATTTCATTAATAATTAATCATTAATAAACTCGTAAGTTACTGCAGTGCCCGGTGAGTGGGTCACTGGGTGTGTCCATCATATAATATATTCTCAGAAGTAGTCAATACAACAAACACTGTAAAGTGTAAAAGTGAAATGCAAGACCTCGAAGTTTAAATTTTAAGACTACACTCACTCCTACATGATACACTTGTAATGTTGTATCGGTAGAATGGTTTTACTGGTGTTACTATTAGTCTACTGCCTAATTCTACTCTCTTCTACCATTAGTAAATCAGTAGTAGTACTCTATGATGTATCATTATCAAGGTTCGTTTACTTGTTTCTACTGGTACTAAATTTTACGACTGTTATACCATACCAAATTTGGGGAAAATTTAAGTATAAAATTATGTTTTTGGTTTTCCTTACCACAAAATCAGCTGCAGGAATACCAATACTATTTTTCTTAGCATCAGTAGTTTGTTGTTCATCTAATTCGGACATTTCTAGTTTTTAACTATTTAATTTTAAGTAAGTTTAATAGCCCGTCAAAGTAAAAGTCTTAAGAAATTACTCAAACTTATAGACTATATCATCCAGCATCCAACTGCCCACACACCAGGAGACACCGAGAGCGCCCTCTGAAATAATAATAAAAAAAACATTGTCAAGTAGATTAACAAAAAAAGAAAGAAAGGGGGAATTTAAGAAAATAGATACCAATTAACATCATAAGGATATTTTTTAGAATACGTTTCAACTAAAATTTACAAAAACAAGACCTAGTGTCATGTAAAATATTGTAACACACATGTATGTGTCAAATTAGTAAAGCACTATTATAATAAATGTTTATTTTAAATTTTCAAAACTGCGCAAGCGTTTCAGTACCAGCTGTGAACAAAGCACAGATAGCTCTTTGTGCAGCTTTCTGCTTAGCAACAAGAACAACGCTTTGGTCTTTTAGAGCTGTCACCTTGGGTGGCAGTGTTGAATTCAGGGGGTGTACAGGAAGGGAATTTCCCTTGTGCAAAAATCCCCCTCTGAAGTACAGTATTTTCCATTTTGTCGAACTTTAATTCATTCCCCCAGCTTCACATTCCCTCATCCCGGTAGAAAGATCTGGATTCAACACGTTTGGAGATGAGCGATAAGTTTATGCTAAAAGCTGGGAGTTCAATTCCTCTGCAAATAATAAGGCATAGACAGACCATTGTGCAGATTTGCCCTAAAGCATGTTATACTTCAGAAATACATGTTATATACTTTTTATACTTATCCGCCATGAATATTGAAATATATTTTTCTGCTTTCTGATGAAACTGGGAATAGAACTTTCTAAACCTATTACAAAGGATTAGAAATACTTTCCATCAAAGATTTGTATGTTAAAGCAGCAGTATGTCACGTAGGTGCAAGTCGTGGTACCACGAGTGACATGTTCAACACTTATTTATTCGATTTCTTTCACAGTGAGAATACCAACCATCCACAAAGTAATGTACCAAGGATAGACGTATAACTAGGTAGTTTTCTGCAACAATCTTTGGCCAGGGAAAGATATTTGTATAGCGAGATTTTTAAACGATGTTGTACCTAAGGAAACTATAATAGTTCAAGAAAAGGAGTCTCCAGTGTTTTTCACAAAAGCGAATAAAACTTATACAGTAGAGCGAATATGGTCTCCAAATCCACACCCCCAAATCAATTCAAAGTAAAACCCTAATCAACAAAGTGAAGACAATAGCTACGAAAACCCATTGTAATGAAATTAGACGTATCTTTTGGTACCATTAACAAGGAAATGGAGCTAACGAGGACTCACAAGCCAAAAATTCATAAGCTTAGAGCCATAAATCAAAATCAATGGTTGTATTCAAGAGAAAGAAGATGGTTAAATAAACAGGAATTACAGCAATCTCATTCAACTACTTGTATGTCTAATATCTCGATATAGATCAACCTGACTTTTTTGTTCTTAGTTTGTGGAAAGTTTGTCAAGATGTATGGCATAAAGCTGATATCATGGTAATTCAAAGAAACTTCATGAAATTAAAATTACGATGTCGGTTAGTAGTGTGTAATCATGACTATAAGACTGAACACGACCAAGGATGGAAGAAGTAGTTTCAAAGGCAGCACGAGACTTGAAGCGTGGTTCTATTAAAACATGATTAACCTCAGTATAAGCACCTTTCACATAGCCAGTAAATAAAGAGGGATTTTATTTAGATTTGAAATAATTGCTTCACAATAAACAATTATCAAAGCAAAACGCATGAATCAGTTTTGTGTCGTTAGATGAGAAAGTGATAGGAGCAATATACTACAACACCAAAATCAAAATGTTTCCTCAATCCCCGCTCATGCTATTTATTACTATAAACTGATAATTATAACAGAAGTATTTACTTACAAAGAAGAAATAATTTTAAGTGCACACAACAAGAATTGCTGATTAACGTGGTTGAAAACTGATGTTTTAGGCAACTTTCAGATAATTATTTCAGAAGTTTCTTTTGTACTTTATAAGTAGCATTTTTTTACCATGTCAACACTTTTTAAAACTACAAAATAACATATTTGAAAAATATATCACAAAGTAAAGAATATTTCAAATTGTTGTAGCATGCTTATGATCATTGAATCAATTTGCTCAAGTTCTCAGTGTTGTTGTAACAGTAATAGTTTCTAAATTCACCTTTTCGAAAGAAGCATAGCATGTATCTTTATTCAGGTACATGAAGTTATTGTTGTTTTCCACATTTCCATTACAGTTTCCGATATAGTTAATCACTTTCGTGCTGACCAGATATTGTAAGGCCGTAAACATGAAATAACTCTTTAACATACTGCGATCTTTGTTCTTAAGTTTCAAGCTAGTATGTATGTATTTCTGTACGAACTTCTACAAAGGTAGCTTACTCAGACAGGAGATACAGAAACCTGTACAAACTAGCTTAAAATCGTATGTGAGCAATTGGTTGAAGTGTGTTACCCGAGGACTTATGGAATACCACACTAACGCTTTGTCTGAGTATAAAAGTGGATTATTTCCAGAATTATTATCCTTTGTTTCTATTGTTTTTAGCTCTCGTGTTTTGGGTCGCTTGTCGGACAATAGTCACGCATAATAGAACCTCGGACAGTTTGGTAGCATAAAGCTTGTCGTGCGAATCAACCATTTTATTTTTCCAAGTTAGCTTTTGATTATTTCGTTGTCTTTCAAAATTTGTAATGTATACTGGAGGGATTTACACCTTTTGATAAAAAATGTAGAAAAAAACGACCTTTACACTCCATATATATATATATATATATATTAACCAACGTTTCCGTTTCGCCTTTGCGGTTTCCTCAGGGTTAATATACACAATTGTTTTACGTCAATTTAACGGCTATTATAATATCAAACAGTTGTGTATATTAACCCTGAGGAAGCCGCAAAGGCGAAACGTTGGTTAAAAGTAAAAAAAAAAAAAGTAATTAGTTGCGTCAACGAGATCACGTGACTATTACCACGCC